CGGATGCCGTTGTACACGTCGGAAATCGCTCGACTACCAGAAAAAAGGTTTCTCTGAGTCGTGGTAAATAATGTGCTTTCCGTACTTTTGTGATGATTAAATTTACTTAATTCGACTAGTTCAACTGTTCGACGTTGTTCACATACATTTACACATCTGATGTAAATAACATGGTGATAAGGCGCTTGCGCTTCTTAATTGCAGTGGGTACTGTTCGCAAACATTCGCAACGATTTCGTGTCTGTCAGTGAGTAGCAATTTAGCTGTATTTATCCCAATTTACCTTGAGGTGATTCTTAATCAGCCATTTCTCAATCTTAGAGCGTTTTAGAACAGCGCTGCCTTATTCTTTTTACGAACAGCTCAGATAAACACTAATAATCCATTCTAATATAAGATCTTCTTTCGAATGCGATTAGGACAAGGGGGCGTTAGAATTTAACGACATGAACAGATGACTACGGTCTTGAAAAATTGCTTTATGCAGAGAATAATCATTCGCGCTAGTAGCTTCTCCGAATCATGATTCAATCAGTACCTGTAGATATGAAACAAACTTGTAACAAAGACGAATGAAATGCAAAAATTTGATAGTGGTTGTTAAAAAAAACTCGCACGTTTCCAGCTTCAAAGCTTCCACTGCCCTGACTTCACGTTTCTCTGTATTGAGATCTTGCTACATCGTACTGTATTCCAGGATTTCTAACAATCTTTAGTCATCCGTTGAAAATGAGATATTCTACATTTATTATTGACAGAACCCTAAATTTACGTTTTTGATCTGCATTAATTCACGACTGTTCTCAGTTAACAGGAGTTATTTTAAGCAAATCAAACATACAAAATGGAAAACAAATTCTGAAGAAAAATTTGCTTTAAATGAATAGCGTAACGAAAACTGAGGCATACACTGAGGAGTATTATATTGTTTACATTAATATACAATAAAATTGCACACAACCCCATCATTGCTAAAAATTTAACTGAATAATTTATAAACAGAGTTTGTGCATGCGCAAAGATAGCTAATCCACCTCTTACAGTGAAATAATGATAATTAAGTATTTATTCTTCTTCTCGGCTGTAAGTCACGAATTCTTTAGAATGCACCCTTTTCGGCATGTTATTCACAAATATTAGGGTAAACAATTTCACATGCGTCTTCCAAGATATATTACGCGAGGTTAAACTTTTCAAAAGTCGCAAATAATCACGTATATCGTGGTTCAGAACTAGATGACGTCAGAGATATCTATAGCTGCCGGTGCTCAAATTCAATGAAGTTGCCTGCATGCACGATATTCTCTCCCACCATCAGCAACGAACTGTGAAACCCTTGAGGAAGTTATGAATTACTCAATATTAAGGTTATATTCTACATTTTAAAACGTCAGCCAGTTGAATTCCTGAACACTCAGCCTAGATTTGTGGTCCTCTTCTTTGTATCAAAGTGGCGGCATGGCATCATGGATTGCACAGCATTGGTGAACTGCAGTAGACATTTTTAATTAAGTGAACATATGGGGACCGTTGCAAAGAATGGAATGGATTACCGGCAGTATAGAAACTGGCATCGCAAAATATGGATGTTCTGCGAAGTTGCCAGCAGGATTTTTGATCAGAGCATAGAAACTGCTGCGAATGACAAGACGGTATTACGAAGCTAGCCCACGTTTTTCCTTTAAAATCACCCGTAGGATTCGAGGCAGAATGTTAATGGTGTTTGTAATTCGATTGGCCTTACAGAGTACGTTCGATTCTTTACATAGTATAAATAAACTATTTTCCGCTGTTTACAACTATACTAAAAGCTCCGCAGTTGTCACTGCTCACTTTATTTTAGATGAATGGACAGTAATCTAAGCAAGTTATGATTTATGAAAACGCACTGCACCATACCGCAGAACTTCGACGAACACGTCAATTTGTTTTTCTACTTGGCAGGTAATCACTCATTTTGTTCATTGCCCAGTTTCCAATATGTGAGCAATAGGTTTAATTTATGAGCCGCGCGTATGCAGAACCAACACTTCCAACTTTCATTGCAGATACGGGAACTAGATGAAACTTGAGAAGAGAGAAATTCAGCTGCTTAGTATTCCGCTCTGGTACTGTACAAAACATAGATGTCATTCTCGAAACCACGAGCAGGATCGCAATCCCATATTGCCATAAATCTTGTTTCCCATGACAGCTTTGAACTCACATGGTTTTGTTAAGCATTCCCACAAGAGGGCTAAAAACTAGGCAGCACAGACTAAGAAGCTTGCTTTCTAGCTCAGAATTGATGTAGATAACAAGGAATTGTGAGGCTTACCCCTTCTCTACAATAACCGAACGTGACACAGAAGTGAAAGGCTGGTACTGATCAAGTCTTTGATTCATCAAACTGTTTGTGTGGTTCATGAACATACAGTTCAGTGTTGTTTTCAGTATAAACCGACGGCAAAAGAATTATAAGCACCAAAAGTCAAAGGCAAAAATGCAATCCACCATTTCTTTATCAAAGGAAGCTTTTTCTCTACATCCAATAAAGGCAAAACTAATATTTAATCTCTAGAAATCTGTTTCAAACAAATGAGACAGATAAAAAAATTGATGTCAAAGATGCGACTATCAAACTATAATGAAAGTTCCGCTTTCGTAGTAAATGTTCCTTCGTATGGAGCCAACACGGGATCCACTTCTTTCTTAACGAATTCTGTCACCTGCAACAAGGAAAACCGCATATACTGCAATAAATTCGCATTGTGCCGAAACCGTAGCTAGCAAGAAAAGACAAAATATGTGCAAAAAGATGTCGACTGGTTGCCTGCTCTGATAACAGTCAATGGTACATACTCGGAATTCGATACATGATTCAAGGCAAAATAAAATAGTATTATGAAATTTCCCAGAGAGAGAGAGCAAACATCGGGTTATTAATTAAGGAGTCGCAACACATATTGGCTAAAAAAGCTGAATGTGTAATGAATGTTCGAGCTCGAATAATTTGAGTGACGGCTGGAATGTAACCTGCCCGACTGACCGAAAGAAGCCATGAACAAACAATTCTGTCATTTAAACCCAACTGGTTTCATCGTTTAGCGCTAGTTTAATTGTGGAAATATAACCCAGATGATGACGCTGGTGTGCGGCATCGAAACGCGTCAGGGAGCAAACGAAATTCCATTATTCTTAGTAAACAGTTGCCTTGAATCATGGATAGCAATCAGAGGGCCATTAAAGGAAAGATGAATTACTCTTCTTTACTTATGAGGTCATATACATACATTTTAATAAATCACCCATTCGAAAACAGCCTAAGGTCTCCGTCAGCCTCTGAGCTAAATAATCTACGAATTAAAAAATATAATTTGCAGCGAAACACATCATGATGACATGAAAACGAATGGGAATACTGCAAATGAACATGTACTTTGAATAACAAATATCGATTTTTTGTACCTGTTCCTTGCACATTCCGATAAAGTTGCGAGGATCCCTAAGAGAGTCGACAACGGCATGCACATTTTCAAAGTACGTGTCCTGACGCAAAGCAGCATATAAGTCAAAATCTTTTCCATCCTTTTCGTTTTCAGCTGCATGTAAGGCGATCTGTCGTATTTTTTCATGAGCAACCTGAAACCAAACGATCATTAAAAGTAATCTAACAAATTTACTGCAATAGTAAAACTAAGTGCTACAAAACAACTTTAGTAATCAAATAAAGAGCGTAAACTGAAAAATCAATCTCAATGATGTTCCATGCATTGTAGAAGCTAAAATACCATGAAAGAGGCGGCATTCTTAAATGGTCCCCTAGGCTGCTAGAAGGAAGAGCACGGTGCGCCTATGCCACGTAAATCTCCGGAAGTAAAAGAAAATGCTACTGTCATGCCGGCGGTATCGAAGACTAGCAGTGTGCCAGTAAATCCGTAAAATCAGTGTTCAAATTTAAGTATAAACTTAAAAATCAATGCTAACTCTGGAGCTTAACCATAAAGCTACGATGTCAATAACCTGGACCCTGGTCAAGGCAGTACTGCTCTCTACCTCCTAAGTATCGTTCAAATGCACGGCCAGAGTCGGATGAATGTAATTTGGAATCAGAAAAGGCTACAAAATGAATTAAGCCAAAAAAGATTGCGCAATGCTGGGATAAGTTTCATGCTGAAAATTTGCAAGACGGTATTTAACACATTATTGCGGATATTCATTAAATTAGCATGTTTTGGATAAGCGCAATTACAGATCTGTTGGGCAGAGCGATAGATCAGAAGGTCATGGGTCTGAGCGATCACCTAGTTACAGACAATGCCTACAAAAATATGACACTTCTGGATGAATAGGATGTGATGGAAATCAGTAATGTACAACACTCTTTTGGAGGTAGAAGCGGTAAGAAATCATGAAAGTTACGTAGCATCGTATACTAAGAGTCATAAACTTTCCTTATCATGCTTTAGGCATTCAGTGAAAACGAACATTTTATAAAGGCCTCAGGCTTTCCGAACTGAAACAGCATCAGTGACATTCAAACACTACACCGCAAAAAAAATCGTTGACGTTGAACTACGCCATTACACAAAATTGTGAGTGAAAACTAACGGTCCACGACTGTAAAACCAAAATAGAAATATCAATTTAAAGCAAAACAAAGAGCTATTCAAATTACCTGTCGGTCAGCACCACCCAAAGTCAGTTTCATTAGCACAGTTTCCAACGTCAGGAAAGGCAATTCTTTCATAACATTTTTGCGGATTACATTTTCATGCACAATCAAACCCTCCGCAATGTTTTGGAAAACGTTCAGTATCGCGTCTGCTGTTATGAATGCTTCAGGAAGAACCAAGCGCCTGAAAAAACGCAAAATCAAAGAGAAATACAATTATCACTTCGCTGAAATAGAATGGACGCTAAAAACGGTACAATGGGATGAGTGCTGTACTATTAAATTCCTTGCATAATAACCGGATAAGTCCAGGAAACCGAGTTTCATAGCATTGCTTCTAGTTTCATAGCATCAAGGGTATGCCCCCTCCCGATGGTCTGAATGTATCGGCGCCATCAACGATGGACATTGGCTACATAAGGGAATAAAAAAGGCATCAGTCATTGCTTCTGTCGCCCATAAATTATTTAATCAGCAGCACGGACCTAAACCTGTCTTTTAACTCTGAAACCATCGACTGCTGAGGACGGCCAACCACATTCACGATACTTCACCACCTAGAAAACGGCCTGCGAGATGTGGTCCTAAACGTCGGCATTGGTCAGGCACCCGGACTGACCATAGTATCCTCTGCACTGTGCATAAGTAAACTATATTTTGCGCTATTTTCAGTATGACCACCAACGCACGAATGAATCACTCTGACATAATACAAGCAATGGATCAGTGGAGCAATGGAGCAAGCAAAGAAAATAGCAGTAGTACTTTACAAAAGAAGAGTACGATAGAGCACACAAATAGGCTCACACTAAATATGGGGCTGCATGTTGTAATACAAAACAGTAAACGGTATTTTTTACATTTTTAGTGCTACGTGTCATGTTTTTAACCCCCTCCCCAAATATGAACTGACAATTCGAATTTCGAACTCCCAAAAGGTTTCAGCTCAGAATGTAGAATTTAGTTGGAAAGATAGTACATGAAATATGTAGAATGTGCTGTAGAGCAATCAACCGAACCCTCTATTCCTGCGAACAACTGAAAGAGAGCAACTTACTTTTTGTTCCATCTATTCAATTCACAATCACTCCAGTTTTTGACTATATGATCAACGCGAGTGCGGTTTATTTCGTTCAGTGTATATTCCTTCATTGTTTGCGGTTGCAAAACGTTTCTGGCTTCTGATGCATGCTTTATACGCAGTTTTCAACACTTTTAACTACAAGGCATCGTTTATTACATCATAGAAGGAATAACTCTTCTCTGAAAGTACTTCTGCATCCACCCTGTTGATCTATATTGCGTGCTTGCCTGCTGACCAACATCCGCTGTGTTTCGGCTCTCACACGAAAAGCTCACTGGCTGGAATAAATGATACATGCTTAACCAGCTTCTCCCTCAGGGACAATCTCCACTTTTAGGGAGGTCACTTTTGGCCGGAAGAGAATAGTCATGCCCTTACACCTACTGGCTTTTAACCGTATGCGTCGAAACAAACATCGCTGTACGTAATTCAACCGTCTTTCTTGCTCCTCCGCGGCCGTACAACAGAGTGACCTAACAGAGGCAAGGTACAGGCGAATTTCCACAGGAAGAACTAATTCCTTTCTCGGTCCAAACATTGGACCCATCACCAAAAGCACTTAAAGTTAGTGCGATTCTCCTGTTTTTAACTGGCTGGGTGGAGAGTCCAAGCGCTGGTGATGCTTCAAACTCCTGAAGGACTTCGCCGCCGTTTCACTTGTGGATCAGCTGTGTCGAGTGGATTCTTTCCAACTTTTGACTTCCGACCGCTAAGGAAGAGGCCTGGTCATGCGGCTGTATCGCATAAGAAAACTGTGAGGTGACCGAATGATTTCGCGTACTACTCACCAAAACAATACCAGCTGCGTGCTCCAGGTCAGCAAGATATCTAGCCGGATATCTTGATCCGTCTTCCCTCTGGAATGAGATTTTTATCTCTGCCAAATTCAACTCTTTTTCAAAGAATAAATTCGAAACCAGTGTAGAACAGCAAAGACGAATTCGACAGTTGATAGGTAATTCTTTAGTTAGATGTCCTCCAAATTTGACAGCAGATATGGCTCAGGTATCCCATAACATTTGAAAACATTCCATATCATCGGAGATCATGCAGTTAATCAAATGCAGCTTCAAAGTCGAGGAAACCAGCAAAGCAAGGCAACTGTAATCGTCGACATTGCCAAATGATACAATGCAGGATGAAAATTGGATCGGGGCATAAGTACTCCATCCGGAAGCTTGCTTCATTTTGAACAAAGTCTCCCATTAACTGTCTGCCTCAGCCCTACCAGGATAATCAGGAGAAAATTTTCCCGGGAGCTGGGACTAGTGTGATACCACGATAATTTAACACATAGCTATGCTTAAA